TCTTCTCAAACCACTCTGCCATTCCCATTTCTCACGCCAAATCGGCCCCTTTCTGGAGGACTCGTAAGAAACCCCAAAAGGTAGGGGTAGGGTTTGAAATTTCACGTTTTGCTGGGATTCATTACTAAAGTATCTGCCTGAATGTTGCTAGCAAGTTGGTTCTTCATTTTGTTCTATAATGTAAAGTATCAAACCCATAGAATCCACCCCATTTCCATTGGCTTCTTTCTTCCTGATTGCCCTAATCCCCATTGTCGTCCGACTCGTCCCCAAACCCGATCCGGCGATTCGCCCCAGCCAACCATGAATGACGAGTCACGAGTCCGGTCCATATTCCATGGCTAGCAGCCTAGCACTGTTCACGACTTACGTGGTATGTTATGTATTTTTTATTTTGACAGTCTGGTGGAATATTTTTTATTTCTTTGAATGTAGCAGTAGGGACTGTTTTGAGAGCGGCCGAGGGCGAGGAGGTTGAGCCGTTTAGGGGATTGTGCTTCTAAATGTTGAGGGAATTCAGGATTGGGAGTGTATTTTGTGGCTTGAAATTGGGGCTTTTTAGGGTTTTCGATTTACTAGCTGTTTAGTGTTTGAAATTGGGGCTTTTAGGGATTGTGCTTCAATATTTCTCCAGCCGTTTTGTGAATTTTTGTGTTTTGGGTGTTGACATTTGAAATGGGTTTTTTTTATGATTTATGTTTTTGTGGATCTGGATTAGATACATACTGAAAGAATGAGAATCGATTGATGTGCGTTGGGGAGATCTGCACTGCTACTGAGAGGGATCGCTATGAGAAATTGGTATTAATTTTGGTTATCATTTTATTTTTTGTATTTTACATTTTCTTGGGGTGGTTTGATTAGTATCTGTAAATGTAATTTTAATGTAGGTGAAAATTTTATTGTTAATTACTGAAATGCTAGTTTGTCTTATATGAAGAATAGAATAAATTTAGTGTTCATTGTTTATAAACGTTGAGAATTGAGAGGCTTAGCTTAAAAGCCAAAATGAAGCCGTTAAAAGCAAGGTTAAACTTGCTCTAGATTCTCTGTCTTTAATGTAATTGTATAATTTGTATGGTTGAGGTATATCTTGTATAAATAGATTGGAGTGAAATTGGGTCAATAACTTGTACCGTCTCCTCTTACATTTGCTTGTTCTGCCCAAACACAAGTGTTTAATTTACAAAATTCTTGACAAATAGTCTTTTCCATAGTTGAGCTGTGAGCTGTTCGATTAATTGGAACTTGGAGAGGAGAAAGAGGCATTATTTTGTTTCTGTTTTTTTCATTTCCGATAAGGGTTTTGCATGTGATAGTTGGGGGTAGGGAAATTTTCAGGAACAAATTAAAGCAAAGTTCTCTTCTATGCCTACTTTTGGCCTCAATAAATTTTTGGGGACATTGTTTATGGCTTTGAATTCGTGATTAAAGGAAGTTGATAAAAATGTAGCAACACAACTGTATCGCTTGTTGAATGGAATGTGAAATTAGGAGAAGACCAAGAAGATCCAAAGAACTTCAGGAAAACCATCCAAGTAAGTTTCTTCATTTCAGTCTCTCAAATGCTACAACGCCTTTGGTTAATGTTCCAAGCAAATGAGTGAATTATTTAATTGTTACTCATGTATGCTTTGATGTTCTTTTCCAGAGAATAATGGCTATTCAGTATAGGATCCCTGATCATGTCCACATATCTCAAGATTGTAGGCACCTCCTTTCTCACATATTTGCTGCCAATCCAGCTCGGGTATGTATTCTATTGATGGATTACACTTGTTGGAGAACTCATGTCACGTTTAGTGTATGCTTTATCATTCATCTTTTTTAAGTAGTGACATAAGCCGAGCCACTTTCTTAACTTTAATATTGATTGTCAACATCACAAGTGGGCTTTGTAATGTTCCATTTAAGATTTCGTAATTAGATTCCATATTACAATATGATTTTCTTGGTGCAGAGGATCTCAGTCAAAGATATTAAGACACACCCATGGTTTCTGAAGAATTTGTCGAGGGAATTAACTTATGCAGCTCAAGCAGCATACTACAGGAAAGAAAACCCGATCTATTCCCTTCAAGATGTGGAGGAGATCATGAAAATTGTTGACGAAAATTGTAGTAGTAAATTTAAATAGTTATTCAATTTTTTTAAAATTTTTCTTTCAAATTTGCGACGGAAATAGTGACGGAAAATCCGTAGCTACCTAAACCCATAGGTAATTTGCGACGGAAAATTGTAACTAATACCGTCGCTAATTAGCTACAATTTTTTCAATCACTAAACACCGACGGAATATTGCGTCGCTAATTACCGACGGACAAATAATTTCGTCGGTAAAATTACCGGCAGACGTTTTGCCGACGGATTTACCGACGAAGAAAATCCGTTTGTGAAAGTCTTTAGCGATGGAATTTAAGGCTTCAGATATGGAAATTTCCGTCTCTAAAGCCACATTTTCTAGTAGTGTATGAAATACCCGAAGTTTAATGGGTGATTTCAGGTATTGAAATAGTTGACCGACCTACCTGACGTGAAGTCTACTTTTAAGTTAAATTTTGTTTTCAAACATGTTTATACATCTTATCTTTTTCATAGTAATAAGTAATAAAAATTACCTCTTTCAACAATAATATATGAGTTATTTTTGAAATGCAGACTACTTATCTCTAATTTTGTTGACATGTGATAAATAGATAGAAATAAATGGTGGGTAATTTAGCTCTTATTTGGTCCTCATTTTCTAAAATTCGTTTTTTTCAAACTTATTTCAATTACACATTTAATGAGATCCACAATTTTTATTAACTTTTTAATCGCTCATTTCATAAACTTTTATTAAAATTTACTTAAAATCTGATCTTATCTAAACCAAAAATGCGTCATATAAAAATTGCACAATAAAATATCATATATATACTGAGAAAGAGCATCATAGGAAATTATTTAGAACTACAAAAGGGAAGAAACTAGCAAATCGAGGCTTCTGTAAAAATAGTATCCTTAAAATAGATTCATCCCATCACCGTAGATACTTGAGATTTCGTTCAAGCATTTGTCCCCCAAAATACAATGAAAAAATCGATAGAGTTTGAGCACTTCAACTTCTAATCCTATGAACCAAGTTCATGTTAGAAACAAAAAGTGCAAAAATTTGCGGTTCGTGGTTTTGAGTGATGTGGATCCTTCAAAAGGGCCATTTTTGGTCCGTTCAGTCCGATATTCATATACACAGGTTGTTTGCATACACAAGTTTAAGGTCCGAAGTGTTAAATTCAAATTGTAATTTGTACCCCACTGCTCGCGTATGTAGGTAGACCATCTATACTATACATAATTACACCTTACATAAATATAGTCATATATAAACAGGTATTTTCCTTGTTAATTTTCCATTGTTCGACGAACTATAAGGGCGCGTTTGATTGGGAGCATAGAATTTGAATAAAAATAAATAAATTCTAGGCAATTCAATTGTCTAAAACTTATTTGTATGCAAATTATTAATTAAATGTGTTTGATTGGTTTTGTTTACAACCTAAAAAATATTATATTTATCTATTTTTTATTAGTGAATAGATGAAATAGAGTGAGTTATTTGAAAAATAAAAAATATATCTCCATAAAGAAAATATTTTTTCTTGTTTTTTGAGCAAAATATGGTCACTTGACCAAAAGTTTGAAAATATTTTTCATGAAAATAATTGTCAATCAAACATCCTAAAAGTAAGAATTTGGGTGAAAAAATGACATTTTTCATGAAATAAAGTCAATCAAATGCACTTTAATAGTTTTCTCTTCAACACATAAATTTCTTCCAATTGATCCATTTTGAACTTCAATTTTTCATTCACCCGAGTATCAATTTTGACAAGTAAATATATGATTTAGATGTTATCACGGAGTAGAAAACGAACCTACTTTGATTTTCCAAAATGGACGAACAGATTCCACTCAATATTGTGCCAAAATTAACCTCATAGA